GACCTAAAAATCTCAATTTTGGACCCAAAGGTGATGGGAGGGGAGCTCTGGGTGCTGAGCGATGGGAGAATCATCAAATCTTGGAATGGTTGGGTTGGAAGGACCTAAAAGTCTTGATTTTGGACCCAAAGATCCTTTCTGGGCGGTTCTGGGTGCTGAGCAATGGGAGAATCGTGAAAATGTTGGAATAGTTCGGGTTGGAAGGACCTAAAAATTCTGATTTTGGACCCAAAAGTACTGGGAGGGTGGCTCTGGGTGCTGAGTAATGGGAGAATCATCAAATCTGGAATGGTTTGGGTTGGAAAGACCTAAAAATTCTGATTTTGGACCCAAAGGTGATGGGAGGGGAGGTCTGGGTGCTGAGTGATGGGAGAATCATCAAATTACAGAACGGTTTGGGTTGGAAGGACCTAAAAATCCCAATTTTGGTCCCAAAGGTGCTGAAAGGGCACTTTGACACCTCAGCCTCGGTGCAGGACAAGGCTGGTTGGGACAATTCCAGGATTTTCATGGACAAAAACCAAAATGGGGCCATTCAGGACTGGGAACCCTTTTTAGAGTTTTTTTGTATGGACAGATTTGACACCTGAGCCAGGCTGAGTGCAGCTCAGGGAGAATTCCAGGATTTTCATGGATAAAAACCAAAATGGGGCCATTCAGGGCCGGGAACCCCTTTTAGGGTTTTTTTTAGGGCCAGGTTTGACACCTGAGCCGGGCTGAGTGCAGCTCAGGAACAATTCCATTATTTTCATGCATAAAAACCAAAATGGGGCCATTCAGGGCTTGGATCCCTTTTTAGGGTTTTTTTTAGGGTCAGGTTTGACCCCTCACCCAGGCTGGGAGGGTGAATTCCCCTCTCCCACCCTGGATCTCCTCCTTTCCCCGCAGTTCCTGCCGGACACGCTGGACGCGCTGTTCAACATCATGATGGAGATGTCGGAGAACGAAACCTTCGATTTCCTGGTGTTCGACGCCCTGGTGAGAGAACCTTCCGGAACATTCCGGAGGCTTTGCTCTCAGCCCCATTTCCAGAATTTGCATCGCCCTTTTATCACCTTTTAAATCATATTTTAATCACTTTTGTATCACCTTTTAATCATATTTTGATCACTTTTTGATCATTTTTTGATCAACTTTTAATCACTTTTTTATCATAATATGAATGTATATAAATAAATATATAACATAAATAATATAAATTAAAAAATAAAATAAATTGAACTATTTCTAAATAAAAATTAAAATATAAATATATAGATAAATGTAAATAACATATATAGATGCATATAGTATAAATATATAATATATATATATAAGCATGTAGTGTAAATAATATATGTA